CTTTCGAGCCTATACAGCTTGGAGTAAGACAACATGCATGAAGAGGATGATGTGGACAAAATACTCATTTGCCTAATAATTCTGCACTCCCTGTAATGTAGTAGTACACTGAAAAAATAACCTATTGGATTGACATGAAAAAATCTGTACAGTACATCGGTTGCAGGAAGTAAAGTTATGTTTAGTCAACTTTATGTTTTTTATAACTGCACAACTTTTACATGTTAAATTAACAAGTTATCAAGTTTGTCAATTTATCTCATGTTAATATAGCACAAAAATGTTTGTTCACATTTAAACTTTTTTTTTTTAAGGTTGAGTGTATTTAGTTACCTTATGTTAAACCGATATAATTCTTTCATTTTAATGTATGTGTTTGTCTTGATAATCAAAAATTACAAATATCTGTTGGTCTATCAGCTAGTAGACCTGATGTCCTCTGGTTTGTCATGGGCATCTGTGTTTGGAGTGTTCATCATTCTCACAGTCTCCTCAGTGCTGTGAAATGAGCAGTTTCTGCTCTGCATCAAACCAAAGCTGAGGAACCTGTAAGATTCTGGGCCAAAATATCCTTTAGCTGGATGAACTGGATGAGTCTAGGGAAGTCAGTATGTAGGGAAGGCACACCCACAGCACTCTGTCCTCTGAAGAGAAGAGAAGTAGTTTCCTAAAAGCACACTGTAAAAAAAATCCTAATATAAAAGTATTTTACTGTGTATTTTACAGTTTTGTACTGTTCTTCTAGAATATCATTAAATTCACATAAATAGACTGTGATTTCACATTTCAAATGTAAATTACCGTAAAATCACTGCAATGTAATAAAACATAATTTTCTTGTTTTTTAAATGTATTTGTCTGTATATATGCATATTTAGATTGTTAAAATACATTCACAAATGCATCATAATTTCACAAATATTTGTCTGTTATTTGAAAGATTGAACTGTTAAATTCAAATGTAGTGCTATGGAAAAATATATAAAATGAACTTTTTTTACATCAAATAATAATAATAATTATTGCTTTTGAGGGCGATCGTGGCTCAAGAGTTGGCAGCTCGCCTTGTAATCAGAAGGTTGCCAGTTCGAGCCCCGGCTTGGACACTCTCGGTCGTTGTGTCCTTGGGCAAGACGCTTCACCTACCACCTACTGGTGATGGCCAGAGGGGAATTATAACGGGGAATTGTAAAGCGCTTTGAGGGGTCTCAAAGAGCGCAATATGAATGCAATCCGTTATTATTTCAACCAACTGTTAACTGTATATTTCTGTACATTTAAGTATTATTATTATTCATATTGCCGCATTCATTGACCTTGTTTATAGGTAAGTTCATTGTTTAATCACATTAAATTGTTCCTAATTGAATGTTTAAAAGCACTTGAAAAAGGCAAAATCCCATGTAAAATTAGGGCAACAAACTGTATTGTCATTACTGGAAATAACCGTATTTTTATGAGTAAGTTATTTTCTGTTATTTTACGGTATTATTTTGGCGCCCCAGCTGCCGGAATATTACTGTTTTTTTAAGATGTTTTTTCTAACAGTGCATATCCATAAACTGAAGCTTGACATTGGTGTTAAGGCTGAAGTGTTTTAGTCTCTCTTTGTAAGTGCTGTAACAGATCCAGGAGTCCATCTTCAACTCTGTCTATAGTCCATCTCTGGTCCTTGAAGTCTTCATGGATCAGATATTGAGCAACACTGCATGTCTTCATCTGTTTAAGAGATTAAAATGATTGTTGCATATACTTCATATTAGGAACACGGTTATTTTTGCTGTATTTTCATCCACATACTGATGAGGGGGAGAGAAAAAAAAAAACTACTGTCATCGTCATCATCATCGAGCATTTTTTATAAACACCAAAAAATGTGATTTAACCCGCTGGAGTCAATGCCTGCGACAATGTGTCCAAATCACATGACCTATTTAACGTAGCAACAGGACACAGTCTCGCTGACTCTCCATTTGGACAGTTGACAGCCAAGTAAAACCAGAGCTATGATAAATATTTTGCACCATCCTTTTTCAGAATACTGTCGTCACATTTAGTGCAGGAAGAAACGGTGAAAAAACAGATTTTCTAAGACAAGAGCTTACAACCTGAAAGTGCTTGCGAGTAAAATAACCCCTCACCAAAAAACACCCATGTCAATCAATCAGAAAATAAGATGGCAACAAGTTGTTGTTGTTGTTGTGTAGTTAGTGCATAGGCTTGTTGTTCCTTATTGCTTTATGTGCTAACATAAGTAATTTTATTTCAGGTACCTGTGATATCTAAAGCAGCATTTCATGTCAACAAATAAATTAAAGGGAGTAAATGAAAAAAATGACTAAATACTGAAATCGTATGTAGATCAGTCAAAGCGAAACAGTCTACAAAAGCTTTGAGCAGAGAAACATCCACAGACATACTCAGAGCTATAATATATTTTCAGGGCTTGTAAACAGGATACAAAACATTGGGATAATTTTTACATTGAAGCTTGGGTCAGTGTAACTAAGTGTAACTTATTACTAAACTAATAGTAATAAAAATACTTTTTAGAAAAAGAATAAAAAACAAATCTATGGAGAAATAAGCATCCCAAACATATGTTTCAACCAGCCTTAGTTCAATATTATAGTTTGTCTTTGGGATGCACAAAAAGATAGAGATCCTAGTGTTTCTGTGTATGAAAAGTAACATGTAGTAATCCAAATGGTCAAACACCGGAGAACCAGTTCAGTGTATCGTTTTATCAAGCGTTTACCAGCATCTAATTTTCTGCTTTACTGACAAATTTTGAAAAACATTTACAATCATTAATCTTAAATGTGATTCTCTATTTAAATTCTTGGCTGATTTAGGTTCCTAATTGTGTTGTGAAAGATAATGATGGATTATAGAGGCTAATAACTATGTTTTCTCTGTGTTTTTCTCAGTTTTGCTGGTTTTCCCCCCGTTGAGCTTTGAGCTGCATAACAATTTATTTCTAAATGACAAAATGTCATTTAGCTGTAATTTTGATGGATGCTGAAGTGCGGCTTAGAACATAATAGTCTCTCTTGTTTTGCTGCAAATCGCTTGACCATATCTGCCAGTTTCTCTATCAAGAAAATGAATACAAACATGGTAGCTGCTTAATGATATATATTGTAAAGTAATGAAAATTGGGCTTGCTGTTATGAATAGGAACACCTCAATACCTTTACTACTTGATGTGGTTGTAAAGACGCGTCTTATTTGTTGCACATATCCTAATTTGGGTAGTTCAAGTCTTGATAGTAGGGTTATTTTTGTAGTCGTGAACATAAAGCACTTTTTGAATGAAACAATTAACTTGCAGGTAAACTAAAAACAACAAAAGCACACTGTAATTAGAGTTTTCTTTATTCCATAATTCATTTTCCCTTGTGCAGCTCTTATGTAAGCACATAAAAGGTCTCTAACAAACTTTTTCAAAAGTTTTAATTGCTGCTGTGGGCGGCTCTGATTTTCTGCCTGTTTTGATTACATGTAAAAGTATTGTTGCAACAAAATATCAGTCTCAACATTTCTACACGTGTTTCAGGGTTTCATTTTCCCCCGTTGTGATGACACTGTTCAGACAGATTTGACATAGATGCAACTTATAATAACCAATTTCTCTCTTTTCGTACTCGTCCCGCTCCTTCCCCATACCTTCCTACATTTCTAATATTTCTTTTTTTCCCTTTTCCTTCCTCCTTTCACTGCTGCTCAGGGCATCAGTAGCCTGTTCAGCTCTCTGAAGGTGGTCCGCCTGCTGCGTCTGGGCCGGGTGGCCAGAAAACTGGACCACTACCTGGAGTATGGTGCTGCTGTTCTGGTCCTCCTGGTCTGCGTGTTTGGACTGGTGGCCCACTGGCTTGCCTGCATCTGGTACACTGTGTTTGAAATGATTTCAAAAGTCAAGCATGCTCATTGCTTCCTTGTCCCTATCTGTGTTTTAAAAATCATACACTGCTGTTCTGCTTTGTTTAGTTTCTTCCACATGATATTGAATAATATGCTAATTTAATTTGCCCAATAGCAAGATTAGGGGAACAGTTCCCACATGAAAGCACAGAAACCCACTTCAAATCGTTCCTTAATTTCACATAATCATGAACATTTAACACAACAATATTTTTCTAACGTATTGCTCACTGAAATGTAGTCCATGGTCATTTTTGTACATTTCTTGTATTCTTGTAAGACACTCAAATTACTTAGTTAAATACTTCTAATGTATACTTCCAAAGGTGCATTAGTTTATTTTTATTAAGATTAAAGTGAACAGTCCATAAACACACCTAAAGTCTGTCATATGATAAAGGATGAACGATTTCAATAACCGTAATGAATATTTACTGAAGTTGTTTATTCACTACTGTAAGCAAATAAGAAAAGTGTCAGATTTTATGCGCCCAATTAATGAAGGGAATAAAAACGGTTTACATATTTTTTAAAGAGTTTTCCCTTCATCTAAATCATAGTTGTGATTGCTTCTGTAATGAAACAGTTCTTTCCTGCATTATGTTGTCTGTCATTTTCTTTAAAGCCTACTATGTTTGCACATTAAACCTGTAATGTTGAACTGCCTCATGCTTTAAATTTGGGTTGGGCAGCATTTTTTTAACCAGAGCACCACATTGTCTTACATAAAGTAAGCGAATGGCCAACAGGATAACTAAATTGATACATATAAATGTATTTGAAAGAAGACGGTGATATTTAAGCACATTTACAGATTTGTTGAAATCAGCTTTCATAGAATATAATCTCTCATTTAGTCAAGGCTGCTGAAAGTAAATGGGGAAGAAGATATTTTATTCAAATCTCAATCTAATTGTTCAGTTGCCAGACTAGCTGAATGTACTTAAACTACTTAAACTAGGTACTTAAATGTATTCAAATTCTGATTTTGTCCCAAACAGGTACAGCATCGGAGACTACGAAGTTATCGATGAAGCCACCAACACCATCAAGATGGACAGTTGGCTTTATCAGCTGGCTATCAGCATTGGATCGCCTTACCAATACAACGCCAGCGGTTCTGGAGAATGGGAGGGCGGCCCTGGCAAAGATTCTCTGTACATCACGTCCCTGTATTTCACCATGACCAGTTTGACGACCATTGGATTTGGAAACATTGCCCCCACCACAGACGGAGAGAAGATCTTTTCTGTGGCCATGATGATGGTGGGATGTAAGTACAAGCTATGTGTTGTTTGGGCTTTTTGGTGATTTTCACAGGGCAAACGGGTATTGGCTGATGTTTTGGCCAGTGAAATGGTACTGGAGGCCATTTCCACCCAGTAGTTGTCCTCTGTGGCTGTAATATTCTTTGCAGACATTAAAGTTGTCTGAAGGAACGCTCGTGATGGAGCTTTGATATGTGCTGACATAACGTGGTGTTTGAAAGGTTCAGGTGTTGTTAGTTAGTCAGTCCAATGCTTTATTTCTACGCTAGTAATTTTAATGATTAAAGATATAGTTGAACACTTAAGACATCCAAGAGGTAATTACTAATGAATTTACTGACAGCTAAATCAGGTTGAAAATTCTTGTTGCACAGTCATTTGTGCAATCACACTCAGAATTCACAAT